ATGTATGTATGCGTATGTGTGTGTGTTTGTGGTACAATGCACGAACGCATTTTTTTTTTTTTTTAATGACTGCGTGTACACGACCGGTTCCTAGGATGATCGTGCGTTGAAGATTGTAAAGGTGTAGCGACTTACCAAGTTTACGAGTGATCTGAGCAAGAGGGGCCGTGTTGTTGAGGGATGCGACGGGGGTCTCTCCTGCAGGGACTTACAATACACACGCATTTAGTACCAATGGCTAAGTGCTATCATCAGTATACCCCCCAAAATTAAATGGTACTGATCACCGATATCACAAGGAGAGTCGATCCTGCTTTCAATCCTCATATACCTTAAGAAATCTTTAATAGAAATCCATTTAGATATATGAAACTGAAACTGCTTTAGTAGAATAAACATTAGTAGAGGAACATATCAACAATCAGTTTACGTGCAGAGCCATAAGGAAGAGCAAGATATCAGAAAAAAAGAGATACGGATAAGACCGCATGAAAAATATTATACTAACTACGATATAAAAAGCAAATAAAAGATAAACAGATCTCCATAAACGGGAAAGTAAAATTAATTCTACGTGATTTTCCTTTATTATATGTCTTTAATAATAACTGCATTTTCGAACGTGATCCGATTGATCAAGAAGTGGAATGAAAATTCGTTAAAGTATTATATTTGCCCTTTACGCGTTTTTTTTTTTTTCGCATATAGTAACTATATATTGAATCTTATTATATAATTTTTCTTACAATTATATAACTTTTGCTTCCTTTTTTTCACGAATAATTTATTCTTTAAATACGTAAAAATACAATTTTTGGATTTTTAATAAATAATAGAAAACGATTCGATAAAAAAACAATTATTGAACTAATCGAAAATTTCAATAAAAATTGGGTAACGTAGTTGTTTTATAATACTATTTGAAAAAAGAAAAAAAAAGATAGAAATATCACTTATAGTACGTGTATACAAAGTCCTGGAAAAAATAAAGTAGGATATCCTGAAATCATCGAATAATTAACTCTATGAATTGAACAATCTCTGTTTAATGTTTAAAAGCTTATATTACACAAATGGGCAAATAAAATTCATCGCAACACTGCACGAGACTCATATGAATCAGATTCTGTGCACTGGTGAGCGAAAGTATGAAATATATCAATTTGTTAGTTGTATCGTGTGTATCTGGGGTACCTTTGGCACGTGTGCGGCTCCAAACCTCTCTGCATATAGAACCGATTTCTTCGTTCGTTACCTCCAGAAGAATTTCCGTCAACGATCTCCGTACCTTTAACATCTATACCGAACGAAATCTGTAATGTATCGAACCAAAACTGCGATCATCGATGAATTCGATCGAGATAATATTCACCACATCCTGCAGTATCTCCTCTCTCGTTCGCTTCGGAGTAGCTATAGCCGTGCTAGATACGGTCGGACTTCTATCTACATGCGTATGCGCATCTGGCGAGTCCGCATCTCGAAATCGTGATTTCCGTGGACGAAGAAGAATATCTGGAGTACGTTCGAAATTCTTTTCAGTCACTTGTGGATTACGTACCCCTTCGTCATCTTGTTCTGTCTCTTTCTCAGAATCAGAATCCTGTATTTTAAAAGAACAAGGATTTATAAAAACGACATGCCTCGAGGATATTCGACGTGGCTTCATTTGCGAGACAAGCAATTAATGCATTTACTCAGACACGTACAAATTTACTTTTACAAGGATTCAATACTGCCCGAGCTTCATCCTCGGCTTGCTTTCGGGCTTCTAACTCTTGTTTCCTTAGTATCTCCTGTCGTTCTCTCTCGACAGCTTTCTGTTTCTCTTTTTCCATCTTTTCTAAACCTTCCCTAATCCATGCTGGCAATTGTCTACGTTTTGCCGCGTCTAAGGTAAAAGTAACTTCATCGTTTTACAACGGTACTACACGATGTTAATTACCGAATACGTATGGGCATATTAATACAATCGATTGACCAAGACAGTTGTGCATTTGATTTTATATACTTGCAATTATTGGTGATTGTACCATTATTATTAAGATACATCCATACAGAAATTATTAATACATTTAATCATCATTTAATCACGTTCTAGACTTACCTATAGTTGTCGTTGTATCTTCCTCAGGTGTTTTTTCCCTATCTTCTCTACACCTTACTGTATCCATGGGCCTCATATGTGGTGCTCTGTTCGTACATCTGACTCCTTTCATAAAAGGAGGTGGCTGAGGAGGTATTGTAGTAGGTGGTTCTCCAGACCAGTAACTAGTTACCTAAATATGAAACACTTATTATCTGTAACTTCAGATTCAATTTAGATTTCATTATAGAATGTTCAACTGCATGAACTGTTTTATCGCATGGTACTTTAAATCTTATCAATTAGGAAATATGAATAGAAGTTAAATTCAGAACATAATTCAAACTACAATATATCAAAACGGTATTTTCTCTTTTTAACTTTATAATACAAGTATTTAAGAAAGTAATGATACAATTTTATACATAGTTCCGTTTTGCTAAGCCTAAATAAGATAGGAAGTGTAGGAGTTTTCGGACTTCTATATTATATTAGAAATACAATTTTAACCTGACTATAAGGTTGTGTTGGAGGTACTGAATTATAAGAATACAACGACGGTGTTGCTGGTGGTGGCACACTAAATTCTGATGTTGTCGATATAGTTGGAGCAGGTGGAATAACAGGCACTGTAGGAATCCCCATAGGTTTTCCATCAGAACCTATAGAAACACCAGGAGGAGGTACACCAGTCCATTCCCAAGTGCCTGTACCAGAACCTGAAGTATTCCAATGGCCCCATTGAGTCCACTGATTCCAAGCTTCAGCTGGCATTAAACAAGACAGATTATGAAGAAATATTGTGAGCATAATTTAGATTGTCACTTAGTAAACGGTCGCAAATACAATATAGGACTAAAATCATTCATACCAAATATTTTTTGCAATAAATTAATATTTTTTGTAACAGGTATAATTAGAACAAAAGAAATGTTATACAACCATATTATATACAAAAAGGCCAAAAGATTAGATAAAAGATTCTTTTCTTTCTTTTACCTGATCCACTGATTGTTGGTGCAGGCGGTGCTGGTGGTACATCATCTTCCTTTGTATCCATATCCATTGGAGCTTCTCCGCTACCATCGGTTCCAGGGCATATAGGATTAATAGAAGGTGGTGGTGGTGCTGGTGGCACTACAGTCTCTTTCATTTTGATCCATTGCTGAGCTAATGCTGCCCAGTCAACTGAATGGCGATCGAGAGTTTTGCATGACAATTAAATGATGTACAATCATGGCAAGAAATGAATCACATATATACTGGATACTGAAATACTTCTTATGCCATTTACCTTGATCGTTACTCATATTTTGGTAAGTGGAAGGATTTAGTGCCCACTGGGTTGGGTAATCCTTTCCCTCAAACATATCTCCACTCATTTTTTTCTCTCTTTTTTTTTTTAATCTATTAATGCCCCAGAAGAAAACAACAACTACGAATCAATGCACTTTAACCTTGTGTGTGTGTGTAGCGCAGGCATTGGTTAGAAATGAGAACTTAAAAGACTACTGGATACAATAAATCGGCTACATGGTGTAAAAATGCTTAGATCTCGTTACTTTTTACCACTTTCACTGCACCGATCAATGTTTTAATACACTTCGAGGCGCCCTGTTGCAATATATGTTACTATATCGTATGTACACGACGATTACAGACACGATTCGCGAAAGTTTATCGCGCTCGTAGCAGCGATCTAAAACATAGATTAGCATAACCTACCCAGGTTGAGCTAACGCGATTTTACATTTTCTATATACTTTTTCTTCATTTAATGTCTTAGAAAACTGCTAAACTACTTTACCGGAAAATATTACATCTCCACTTAACGGTGGCCGCGAGGTGTCACAACGAACATAAAGATGAATCTCCATTGGCAAGAGCGAACGCAGCGCCATCACTAAAGTTGTCGCGACATGGAAACGAACAGTTATAGAAGGAAAGAACGAGGAAGGCATCACGTTGCATCGTACAATCTTCTACCAAGTAATTGTTATTTTCTTCAATTTATATAGTGTAATTCAATTGTATAAATCATTTACAACCTTGTAAATCATCACTTGTGCAGTCAGTGATCAAAGAGAATGATTTCATCGGTAAGAACGTTGAAAGTCGTTCAATGTAGTTCAAATATATTGCGCTCTTTGCACTTTGCGCCAAAACTCGCCGCCATTGTACGTTCCATCTTCCGAAAATTCAAATATGATTTCGCGAGATTTAAAAAAGTTTGTCAATATTTCTTATCTAGAACTTTATTACGCTTTCAGTGAAGTGTGAAGACGTGTTGCTCGATGCAACATTGGTTTCTAATTGAAAAACAAATCAGGGGAGAAGTAATCATCATTCTGTTTGAAGACTTCATGAAAAAGACGGCAAGTCTTTTCTCATTAATAATAAATTTTTGTTTTATACGTAGAGAAATATCACTTGTGAATGTTCCAATACTTTGTCTCGTAAGTTCTTCATAAATTTCTTTATAAATATGTTACTTAATTATTCAATCAAGTCCGACGAATTAAAATGGCGAAAGTCTAATTTAGGAGTTGAAATGTGTTGTCGAGGGTTACGGGGTGAATTAACAGTTTCTGTTAGTGGGGATAAATGTACCACCCTGTGTCAGGTGTTGTGCCACGCGGTCGGCTAGTCTTCTCAATAATATTGTAGCTTCATGGGCATTCGGTACAATTAAGTTTTCGTAAACGCATCGAGAACCATTAATGATGTCTCCTTGCTCTATAATTATTTAATGGAAAGTATTGTATCTCATAAACTCGTCAAATTAAAACAGAAATCTATAGTATAATTATTGTATGAAATATTTGTTTTATTGCAAAAAATTAAACCTAATATTTAAATCTGTTATTTAGATTGTCAAGAATACTTCCTGATGTCAACGATACTTCCTGAATCTTTTACTATCCAATAATGTGCCTCGTCAATTGGTACACGCCAGAAGAACTGCAGTTTCTAGGAGACTGGAATTCTGATCACGATCATTGTTCTGTAAGTACTTAGCCTATATATGTATTGTTTACCTAATTACGTTCTTAATTACAAATTATTACCGACGCGTACCAATGAATATTCTCCCACGCAACAGCAGCTAGGCTGAATGTCACGGTACGGATTTAATTCTGTTCTGTGTAATGCAATGGATTTTTAAAGCAAGCTGTTGAGTTAATAAAGACGCCAGTTGAATTGCGCCGGTTCCACGTTTGTGCGCCGCTATTCAGACAATCGAGCACAATGCCACCAGTTTGTGCCCTTTCCTCTTTTGATCCGTCCTCGACGCGACGCTTAAAAGTGGCGTGGAAATATTCTCATATCGATAGCGCAATTCGAGCGTGCTGGATCGAAATTGGAACGCGCAGGCCTCGGAATATGATCACCCAACGACGAAAATAGTTTTTTTTCTTCATTCTCGACTTACCAGAGTCGGAGGAATACTCTAAACGTCACAAAGGAGTTTATCTACGAGAAGGATAGAGCAATACGGAATCGGCGTTGCGAAATCAACTTGGATAGCAAGTGGAGAATAGATTTAGGTTAAACGTTTTATCGATTGCCACGGACGCTCCGAAGGAACGGCGTGTTTCATTCGGCCGGATTCTTCAGTGGACACCTGAGCAAGTCCTTAACCGGCTAAGGATGTCAAGGAAACGATGAAACTTGCCTACTAGGCAGTATGTATAATTCATTTGCCCGATTTGGCATAGCAAAGAAATACCACACGCACCGGAAATCACAGAAGAAATGTATAAAGTTACACACAGGCGTGCGTGCATGATGCCGTGGAGAAGGATATTCGCAAATTCGACGGTCTTAGAGCACATCGTATCGATTTACTTACTTTCGCGACCTAGAAATAGACAATTCGTATCGACATTTTCGCACGTGTGCCAAAGGATGCGTTCTAAAGTTCGCGAACAGCTAAACCAGCTGAATTTCTCGCACGGGTTATGTCATGAACTTTATTACGCTTCATAATGATGTATACATGTAGGTGTTGCGATTCTGTTCAATACTCGTAAAAGTCTTATACTGATCATTACAGTACAAATGTGCCAACACGTACTCGATAAAACTACAGTCGTAAACGAGATCTGACATTGATTATTTTTGTCACCGAGTGTAACTTTGAGAGACAGAGATTATAATGACGTTGTTGTCGTTTAAACAGGATGATGAAAAAAATTCTGTCATGAAATGACAGTCAAGTGACAATTAGCATGTTTTATGCAACACGTTGAAGTATCAATCTCTGCGTTTCGTGTGATTGTAAAGCGCTGCTAGTAAAAGGCTACCTCGTTACATTCGACAGAAGTCATTTCACGGTTCTCGAATATCGAACACGCCAGCGAGTTTCCCTCTCTTCGCCAATAAAACGGCAACATGTGCTTTACTCTTGTTTTATAGCCACACCAGTTTCAGAACTTTTTATACCGTATTTCAGGCATCCGTGAACGCGGACATTAACACGGCTCTATATCATACTGTGTGTTGCGATACGTCAGATATATATACTCTGTAAACTTTCCGCATCGATTTCGTCGAAGAAACTAAGCCGCCTAAGGAAACCTCAATTTTAACTTTTACTAATTTATTCTCTTTGCGTGGACTTCTTTTTTTATCTCTAGTGGCATAAAGGAAATTTAGCTTTAAATATCAACAGTGTAAAGCTGTCGGAAAGGGAATTCTTAAGAATAATGAGATAACAACTAATCCGGCACTATAGTTCGTTTTCATTTTAATTTTTTTTAATTTTAATGATATGCAAGATCAATTTTTTAAATTAACTTTGAAGATGCAGGATTAATATTACAAATTCCAGATTTCAATTCTAACTCGATGGAATTGATCCGTTTAGCTTTCTCGTGGCTCGATCTGAGAAAATCCATCTGTATCGAGGTCATGAAAATCAGTCAACATAAAAAAACAAACTGGTAAAACAGCTGAGCACCACTGATACGCCACATTTTTACTTTCGACGATTTCTTTCTCGATCAGCACGGTCGTCTCTCTCTTTCTCGTCAAGGTATCTCCCCACCAGATTTCACCAGCAAAACGCTTACCTCGTCGCACCTGTTTTCTTAATTTCTTGACTACGCGCATTTGTGATTTTTGCATCGCGACGTTACATTTGCCGACGCGAGATCGATAAAAGTCAGTGAAATACGCGGCGGGTAAACCGCGTCATCATCGATCCTCTTCTTTGTTGCTCGAAGCGATTAAATCGATGCACGGTCGCGAGGACGAACCACGATCGCGAGCAGTTTTTTTCCTTCTTTTTTTTTTTATCGTAAATTTCAACGTCGTGCAGCGAATTAACTTTATCACGGTGATAACGTTCAGTGAAAATGTGCCGCGATCGATAAGCGTGCGGATTCCGCCGACTACCGAACCAGCTGCTTTTTAATTCTTTTGTTTACCATAGAACGTGGGTTCATCGAGACGGATCGAATTAATCGGTCCAATCGCATCGCGTCATTTCAAACGCTTCAAACCGTGGATCGCGTGAAAACGAGAACGAGGGTGAATTAGTAAATTGTTAAATAGTTTGTTAAATAGTTAAATTGTTTAATAGTTTGGAAATTAAGCGTACATTCAGTGACAACATATTAATCGCGTTAGATCCGTCAAGATCAATGAACTGTCACACGACGGTTTCGTATGTGCGTATACGTGTGTGATTTGGTTGTTTTCTTTTCTTTTTTTTTTCAATTTGCACCGTTTCTGAATCGAGAAAATGGTGATCGGTGTGAACTGTAGAGAACGCGGTGAAACCTCGAAGTTTGTGTGATTTACAATCACCGGTCGTCATCACGAGCGCGGTTGCGATCGCGGTCGCAGCTCGCGCGATCATCGTGCTGCGAAATCTGTGCAAAACAGTTCGTTTCCCTGTAAATTCGCGAAACGTTTTATGAAGTGCTACAGTTCGTTTTGCCGTATTGAGACGAACAGATCTCCTTTGTCCCAAGATGGAACATATTCCGACTATTGTATAGACCTCTTTTCGTCGCGCCACGTGGTATTGTATCTATCTAAAGTCTATTGTTTTTACGCCAGTGATCTTCCTTGTAGAATTCATGCGCCATTACGACGATCGTTAAACATCGAAAAGTTGAAACGGTTAAATTCTTTGAAAATATACTAATTTGTTGTTAATTATGGAACTTGTGATATACGTAGACCGAAGGTTTAAAGGTTGACGTAATGCAACGCAATCGTCAGAAATACCACACGCGTATCGGGTAATAGTTTTTCAGTTTGCTTTTTGCTGGTTTTAATCTAACGAACTTCGCTCCACCTTGAATAATCTTATCGGCACATTCACGAACGTAGCAACGCATTACGTGGTGCATCGATTTAACTAGCGTGAAATTTTCAGGCGAAAACGAGCTTACGAGGCTGATACCAGAGAGTTTCGTGGATTTTCCCCTACTCAGCTCTCTCTGTCTATTTTTAACCGACATGCCGCTTTGATATCAATAAATTATCATTCCATTATAAAACGTGGTACGTATCATCTTGCGGGCGATATACTCCGTTATTTATGTCTTCGTTTCCCGTTGAGAAATTATTGTACGACGTTATAGGTTTCCAACAACGGGTGAAAAATTGTACTTGCGAGTCGAGAACGTTTCCACGTTCCTAGCAACGGTCTTAATCGCCGTTAATTGTTGCATTTTTGCGGCGCTATCGAGGCGCAAACACATTATCGCTCGTGACGCTCATCGTAAGCCGGTGATAACGCCATGATACGCCGTTACCTTTACGATAGTGTTAATTGCCGGTGACGAAACGCAATCGTGCATGTATTCGCGTTTCGCTCAAACGTTGTTTACCACTAAAAAAAATCCAGTGAAACGTTCGTTCCTTAGGCAAGAGTTCCTCCTTCTTTTAGGCAAAATGTCCACAAAGTTTTACATTTGTTCCCTACTCGAGTGATTCGAGGGCTAGTGAATTTATTCGGTTTATTCGGAATAATTTCACGAAGGTTTTGAGACTGCAAATTTTTCCGGCTTCTTGGACAAGGAAAATGATCGAGAACGATAACGCCGATATGGTTAATTCATGTCGCAACGATAAGAAAGAAAACGCGATAAGAGAAAGAGCACTGATATTGCTTAAAATACGTTTCTAACTGCAACGATTGCGACCACGTGACATGATATACATTCCTTGACATACAATAATATTTATAAGAAAGGAGGGGTTTGAATAAAAACAATATTGCAACATATGTACACACAAATGAGAGAAAGACAACGAAAGAAAGTCTATATTTTGTCAATCAGTAGGATACTATCTCACCGATAATGAGGCGATAGTGAATGCGATATAATTTCGTAATGGAATTTATTAATCCAGCTGAAACTTTGGTTGAGCCGATCGCAAAATCAACGGCTACACCCTGATTAATAATCGAACTATTGCTACAACTGATAACGATTTAACATCTTTTAATTAATTATTAGAATTACCTAATGGAATTACTTTGCAAGCAAATAACATATAATAGGGTCGGTAACCGCAGTATTTACTATGGATTAGCCTTAACATTAATATGTATTTAATTAATCATTATCCTGGCAATATTTTAAACATTCTGCCAACTCTTGCTTTACACTGAAATTGCCAAAACAGTTAATCAGACAGTATATATGTATCTAAATAATCTTAAATTTTTTAGGACAACTTTATTTTCTTGAATCTGCGTGTGTTTGAACGAATGCATGAATGTTTTTCGAAAGGCACACCAACGATATATTTTAATGTTTATTATTATATACACTTATTGCTACATTTATCATTACATAATACTACCATGTGTAACAACATTGAAGGTCTTGTTGTTAGTTTAGATTCTGTGTAATCTAATCAATAAGTTAGAGAATGTGAAGATATAAAGCGTCTGGGCTAAAAATAAAATATAATTTCGCAAGATTTAACTCCAAACTCATCAGTCGGGAATTAAAAAATCTTGTAATGAAATAATTCTATGTCGTTCGACAATAACAGACGTGACAAACATAACTGCGCGTAGTCTTGATCACTATGAAGAATAAAATCAACAAACTTTTTAATTTTTTCCCAATCAATGCGCATTTTTTCGTAATTAGCCAGATACTTCTGAACATAATCATGTTTTCAATAAATTTTTATTTGCTATTTATCCGCGATTTAAGGATGAAGAGGCTCGGGAAAGGAACGTGGCGAACGATCGAAGGGAGCAGCTAGTCTTAGAAAAGTATTTACTACGGAAGTTGGAACATTGTTTGGCCACGATCGACGTTTAGTACCGGAACAATAAACGTTGTTCGGAATGGAACGATCTCTTGCGGCGAATTTGTAACAATCGCGCGACCATAATGCGAGTCTATTGATCCGATTCACGGTCTGCAGCTCGGACCGGCGGGGGGAGAAATTTGCAATAATCGGAAATCGGCGAAAGCCGCTTAATTGTTTGCTCGAACGCGCGTTCGTTCTACGAGTTCGGTGTTTTATTGACGGTTCATCCGCAGTGCTTCGCGTGATTGCAGTTACACGTGAAACGGCCGTTTATCTACACCGTCGTGGCCGACCTCGATGAAGAGCGGTCAATTTTGGCTGGCCGCTGAATACTTCTGGACGAGCGACCGAAACGCGGCCAATTCGTCCAGTTGAAGCAAGGGACAATTTTTTAATAGAATCTTGCAGTTGGAAAAAAAAAGGGAAGACTCTCGGTTATACGTATGTGTGCATGTGTGTGCATAAAGATACATCGAATTTGGCAAGATGACAACGCTGAAAAAGGATGAAAAGAGGAGTTCCAAAAAGTCGAAGAATACCGGCCAGAAAATCTCCAGTCGCAAGACAGCGAAGCAAGTGCCCTCGAAGAGCAACGGGACGAGAGTGCGAACAGGTAGTGGAGTATTGAACGAATTTCGCCTTTGATTGTTTCCAACTCGTCGATATTACGCTTTATCATCTGCCGACCGAGAAATCCTTCCACCAACTTTTTAAATCTCCAAACTTCCCGATTTTCTCCTCCGTTTTTCTCTGTCTTATAATTCCCTTGCATGTATATCAGATTATCTAAGATCATCTATCCCGTTTGTTTCAGATGATCCATCGATCCGCGCTGGCAATGGGGACGCGCAAAAGGACGTGAAGGAGGCGGGGACGAGCGGCAAATTCGAACGGAAGTCGTTCCGTCGAAAAATCGGGTCACTGATAAGAGGTAGCGCCGCCGAGTTACCGGCTGTGATAAATCGCAGCCTGCAGCCGATTAGGCGTAGCTTCAGCTTCAGCAAGGACTTGAACCGTCTGCACGAACCCTCGAAACCTCACAGGGCGAGCAGTGTTCATTGGTACAACAGTCTGGTGTCTTTGGCCGAGGATGAATGTCTGGACGAGTTGGATCACAGCCCGCCGGGGAACAGCGTGCCCGAGGAACTATTCTCACCGAAGGTTCAGGTCACCAGGACGCAGAGTCTCATCGATACCACTTTCGTAAGGATTACTTTTGTACAAACCGAGTCACTCGTCGCGATCTATCGGGGACAACAGGGTCGTTGCGTTGGCGGATTGATCGAGCTTGTAGTTGAATTAATTTGTTTTCCTTGGGAGACGATTAAGAAGGTTGGGTAAATAGGATTTGCAAGAGTAATCTGTTTGTCGTTGGCAATTTAAGACGGTTGATTTATTTCGTTTCATCGATCGACCGAATTCTTCGATTTGCTCGAAAACTGTACTAATTATGTAACGTCCGCTCTCGCAGTTAAAACCATGATTTAGCAGACAGATATTTAAGAGCATTTGTAGGAAATTTCACGCAATGTGCAGAATACGCAAAAATATCCAAAATGGAGTGTTATTGCAGTATTAATGATTCTATTTCTCTAATTGTGCAAATAATATTTGTATATAATGTTATAATAATTAGCAAATGAATTTCTACTTACAATTGGTTTCCATTTCTTTATTTATAGTCGCAAAGATGTAACGATGCATGTAAAAATTCGCAGTCCAATCTGATCAAAGAGTAGGGACTTTAATCGAATTTGAAATGAATATCGAGTTGTTGGAAACGAAATTACGGTAGCCATGTCTCTGACTTTTAACAATTTTATTCACGAAATCAAGATTCATCAAAGAAACAATGAAATTAATTTTCATTCGCTATGAAAATTCTCGTTACTGCTTTTATGTATTTATTTTACTTCTGTTTCAAATGAATATTCGCTCGATCGTGATCTGCAAACTAAATTCTTTGACAAGCCACTCAAGCTTGAACGCATCTTTCCGTCAAATGAAATTAATATGCGCATCGACTTTGAGCCATTAATTACTCTATATTAATTCGGGAGGAAGCTGGCTACGGAGGATGGAAATAAAATGACAATTAGTAAACTTTGAATGTTACGTTTTTTAAAGATAAAAAATATTCACTTTGGTTTTTTTATTTTATATATGCAATAGCCCATAAATGGTATTTCCACACTTATAAATACCATTTATGAGTGTATTATCTATGTCCATTATTATTACATTGGTAAAGTTAAATAAAGTTGTATAACATGTATTATATATTCATGAAGCTATGAAAAATTTGTAAATACTTTTTTATGATATGATTTATCGTGTGTCTCGCAATATCTAGCGTCCCTTTTAGACACGTTTCCAATAAAACTCTCCACTTAGTGTCGTATCAAAGTTCCATCCGTTCTGACATGAACAACTCTTAATAGAACAATAATAATATTTTCTCGTCGCATCGCTTAGATAGGTGTGCCCAGGTCGTATCGATAAGATTCGCTGGCAAGCTAAGATAAATTAACGTTCAATGAAATGTAAAGTTATCTGCCTTTGCTTTCCTCTTAAAATAGCGACGTTCTTTTTCAATAATCCCGTAATCATGTCTCGCAGTTGTAAAAGCAACATTAATTCCACTAAAATATTCCAGACGTAAAATTTTACTTTAAAAAAAAAGCATAACAATGTTAAAATTATATTCAATCCTCGATGTCCAAATTATATTCAATCCTTGATGTCCTCATCAGCATAAATGCGCATTGCAAATACGCATTCATAAACCAATAATTCAAATATGAACAAATCTGAAGACTGCTTGGTGCTCGCTGTAAAAACTTGATCAATAATTTTTTTCCCTCTCTTTGTCATCGAGTCCAAGGATAAATATTTGTTCGGTAGATTAATTCAAGATTCCCTACTCTATTCCTCTCCTCTCCTTTTTCAACATAATTTTCTGTTAGAAAAAGAAAAAGGGAAGAACAGAATCAGTGGAGATAGAGAAAAAGACAGAGTGTTATACCTTGATTCGCCGCGTGTAATCGCGTTCGGACGTAGGAGGCGCATTAAGAGGATGAAAATATCCACGTCGGTAAAATGTGGAAACGGAAGAGATATTTTCTTTAAACACGCTAGAAAAAGACTCGTTGGGTCGATGTAAATAGAGACGAGGCCTTCAATCCCGCTTGGCTCTATTCTTGCACGAAACAAGGATCCTCCGTCCTGTTGGGACGTGCATCTTTTATTGAAACAGCGGCAAGATGAACTTGCGCGAAACGATTTTCTTCCCGGCGTCTTTCGGTGTTCCCTTAATTTTCATGTGCGCTCGAGTATCGGCAGATTCGATGTAAAATAAATTGCATGTTCCAGCAGACTAGAAGTCCGAGACGACGAGTGAACGAGGCACTGAATCGGACAGCCCCTTATGGACGGCACAGCGACCATTATGACTCCACTATAGGTAACTTCGATTTTTCATATTTCCTTCAAATACATAGAAATGCGTCACAGCGTGATATTCGATTGAAATAGTAAATGATTATAAAAAAAATTTAATTTAATTATTATAATTTCATTTTATTTGATATCTCTATGAGCACAGTCGAAAATGTGGATTCTGAATTACTGAAATTCGGAATTCTGAAATTGCTATTATAAATATTATATTTACAATATTTTATACGTATATTTCTGCATACTTAAATTTCCCTGATAAATGCATAAAAATCCGCGATTTTAGTAACAAAATTTAATTTTAATTTCGGAAAGAATTTAACTTTAAATTACTGTGGCCTCTTTGATTATAACAATTGCGAGTTAAAGACAATTGCATTTCCGATATCGCCTCGGAGTGGATTTTCTAATCTCGCGCGATTGTTCGGACAATTTTCCTTTCCCAGCACAACTTTGCAGAGAATTAATTAAGAATTAATGAACTTCTCTTCTTTTACTACGGCGACTGAAAGCTTGCATATTCTTCCTTCCAGATTTAAGTAATCCGCCCTGCGAGGCTAGTAGCCTTCCTGCTCTTGCGCGCATCGCCACGGATGAGAGTTACATCGAGCCACGATCCCCGTAAGTAATGCAAGATTTACCATTTTATTTGACCTAGGAAGGGGGGAGAAAGATCACGAGAAATAACAAAGTTTCCCAACTTTTTCCTTGCCAACGTGTTTAAAAAAAAGAAAGAAAGAAGACGTTCTCGATGAAACTTGCGACGAGCTGAGTTCTCGAACTGTTGACTTCTGTTCTTCTTTTAATTAGAGAGACAGCTATTAATCCCTCGAGGCGGTATGGCCGTCTGTTGTCAACGACTAACAGTTTGCCTTCTTTGCCTATTAAATTTGCCTTCCTTAACGTGGCCAACAGCGGAGGTGTCCCTCCATTGTTCAAAGGAAAGCGAGCAAATTGCAGCTTCGAAACGGCTTGATTTACGGGGTTAGGGTCTCGTAACTTGTGTCGCTCGACATCGCGTACTTCGTTGTCTCTCGCTCGATGTCACTTGGAAAGTACAGGAGGCCACCTCACCTTAAACCATTAATTCCAGAGGGGACGTTTTCACCGAATAAAAAAAAAAAAAAAAAAAAAAAAA